CCCACACACACACACACGCGCAGAGTGACTGACAGCCACTCTGGGGCTCTCACATTCTGTCGTCAATGGCAGCAGTTCTTCTTCCAGGCGCACATATGGCCTTATAATAAAATTGCAAATGTCATAAATGTTTAACTCACCATTCTTCCTGCATGGTTCGTGCAGTGAGCGCCAATTTTGGTGCGTTCTTTTTCTTTTCTGTCTCATTTTTACCCCCCCCCCCCTTAAAAAAAGAGTATTCACACTATTCCAATCCTTATTATGAGACATTAAAATTGGAGGGTTATGTCTGATCTTAGATAAATTTTGTGTTGGAACTTTTTCGCGGTGCTGTTCAAATATTTTATTTCTCCTTGTATAGATCTATGTTTTATGCTGTCTTCAACACTTCTGACATGATGACAGATTTGTTGCAGTAAATCCTGTTGGCACTTACATGACCAAAATTGAGTTGATAGTGCCGTAAAATACCTAATCAATCAATCAATCAATCAATCAATCAACACGTTTTCTTCTTCTCGATCGCCTCACACTTGAAGTCCGGTATCTGTCATAAATTGGGCCGTCCTGCCCAGTTCATCCATCGGCCTGCATAGCTTCTCTTGTAGTGTCAGTGGGGTGGGCCACGTTTCCTTGTGACCAACGCAATTTAGATCATTTAGGAGGCAGGCTGCTTCTACCATGCGCTTGGTTTATTGTTGATCTTAGCTCCCCCTTGTGAGGGTGGTTGGAGGGCGCCACTGGTACGTTGTACTTCTTCACTTTCCCTCTATTGTTTCTGTCTGTCTGTCTCTCTCTCTCTTACTTTTCCCTAGCACTAACTGTCCTTTATTGAGTCAATGTACTTTTCTTTACTCAAACAATCAAACAAACAACCCTCGTGTGACCTCGTGTGACCTCGTGTGACCTCGTATGACCTCATGTGACTCTTGTGACATCTTATGGCCTCATGCGACCTTTTGACCTCGTGTGACCTTGTTTGACATTGTTTGACCTTGTGTGACCTCCTGTGACCTCTTGTGACCTCCCCAGATTTCCTGTGACGGACGACTTACTGAAGCCGTTGCTGGAAGGACTGACCATCAAGGATGCCATTGACCAGAAAAGACTGTTCATGTGTGACCTCAAGGTCATGGAGGGCTTGCCTGTCCGTGACGGCTTCACTGTGAGTGTGTGTTTGTGTGTGTGTGTGTGTGTGTGTGTG